CTGGTAGCAGTGTCCAAGCCGTTTGATCACTATTTTGGGACGAGAATGAAATTGATTTTTCCCGCATCTTGATGAGAGGCTTTCTCTGCTGAAAGCCGCTGGCCTCTGCTGCACCAGAGCAGTCAGACCGGCCAGAGCTCCAGGGCCTGAGGAAACCACGCATTGCCCTTAGTCTGACACCTCAGAATATGAATTCTAAAAGAAAAATTTCAGGGATTTTTAGATCCGTATTAAAATGGCTTTTGGCTGCCATTTCCACCTAAGTCTTCATTTCTCAACGAAGGGTGTTTCCACGCCTCCCAACAGTAATAATAATTAGGCTGGCAGAGGCTGCCTTCTTTTCTGGCATGTAAAATAGGCTCAGATATATTATTCGTAGCGTATACAAAAAGTCTAAACAACCGCAAGGAACGGCACAAAGCTGCTACCAACTTACACGGGGCTATAGCCTTCCCGAAGGCAATAAATGCATTATTTCATAAAGAATCATATTTGAGCTTGCCTCCTACTCACTCCTTTGCTTGCAAATACTGCTCGGGAGGGCACGGTAGTCCAGATGAATTTGGAGCCAAATCTCGGATTCCTAGGCGGGCAGAGATGTAGCCATTTTCCCGAAAGCTTCCCGGAGAGCCCCAAAGGTAACGCTTGGGTGGTGTTTCGGGGGGAGAAGGAAAACCAGCCCAAAGCATTTGTCGCCACTCTTACCGCCCGCATTGCCCAATGCAGACAAAACCCGAGCTCGCTCATGGTGGGGTGGCTGCCAGAAGGAAAAGGGGGACGAAGCCTCTCCGGGTGACAGCTCCCCGGGGGCGAGGGATGCACACCTAGCCAGCCACAGCCACAGGAACCGCTCCTGGGTCCCTCCAAATCTTCCATACGTTCAGCCTCTGTGCTGGGAGTTGACGCATTGCGGACAATGAGGGTCTCTTCATCCAGTGGCATTTCCTAATTAAAAAAACTAGGAGCAACCCCAATGATGCAAGCCAGGAGAAAAGCAAAAACCAGATAAAGCCCCTTTTCTTGCTCTCTCCTGGAATACTACTCAGACGGCTACAGTCCATGAGAAATTGACCCTTTACGCTGTTCTTCCCTATCCTAGTCCTCCCCAGTACAACCCGTCCCTTTATTACATGTGTGATGTGAAACTCGAAGAGGAACCTCTGGTGAAAATATGTGAAAGGCAATATATTGTTTATTAAACGCATCTGATCCGCGATGATGGCTTATTGTGAAGCTCCTAGCTTAAATCGCCTACGGAAAGAGGGAAGACAGAGGAGGTAGGATCTAAACTGCGATTTGTTGAGAAAGTCTGTGTGTTATGTATCTCTGTATGTGGCTGTGTATCTACAGATGCAGTCGCTTCAGCAGTGCCCGCTGTGTGTAACCGTGTGTGCACACCCAGACGTGTTTGTGGGCTCATCCTGTGCACAGACACACGGGCGGCACAAAATGGTGCACGGTTTCACGCGTGGCCACGCTCCGGGTGTCATCCCTCGCTCTGGAGGGATCCGTGCCAGCAGAGGACGGCTGGCCGGCCGTGGGGAGGCACACACGCGTGGCAGGGCTGCAGGAGCGGGGCGCGCCCTGCCTGTGCGGCTCTGCCTGCGCACACCCACCCGAGCTGTCCCCTGGGCACACGTGTGCACAAGCGTGTGCCACACGCCGCCTGGCTGCGCAGGAGATGCGCCCAGTGAGGTGGATGCACTCCACGCCCTTCGAGTGGATTATTTCGGGTGTCTGACCAGGTGCCCCCTGTACCGGCTTTGCGGGTGTATGCGGGGTGGGATGGAGCAGCGGGCACCCGCTTGCTGCGCCCACGCCCGCGTCCCTCCGCAGCATGCAGGCGACGGCTCATCCCTTTATTTATTCAAACATAAACATCTTTGCATTTCCACCGCAGCCTAAACGCGATAAAGCCCTTCGAGGAGGCTCTCCGTTCCTCCTCTTTTGATAAGGCTGCAAACGCAACTTGGTTTGTTGGGAATGGCTCTGGATGCCTTTGTGCTTCCTAAAAGAGCATAAATAATTAAAGTTTGGCAGAGAGGAAAAGCTTTCTTGCAGAACTGTAGTGGCAATAAATGAAATGACTCAGAATCTCTTCTCCAGTCGGTTTTTACGAGAGCTGCCAGACAGTGTCTGTTCACGTTCTCCAGATACTAGGGGCGCCATAACAAAGTTAAGGTCAAGTTAGTGTCTTATCTTGGGTGGCACAAAAATACCGCATCTTCTCCAGCCGGACCGGGTATATTTTTAAGCCCAAACGTTACGCAAGTCGCTTTAATTTCCACGGAGAGCATTTGGAAATGTCTCTTGGACCTGAATACTTGGTGATTCCAGGCAACGATTGCAGATGTTTCAAGACGCCTAACGGTAAAGTATTCGCCTGACTGTGTACTTGATGTGCATTTATGTTTGGGTGCTATTTAATCTTTGTAAGGGAAAAGGGAAAAATGGGGGGGGAGTGTGTGTGGGGCTGTTATTTTATCGTTCAGGGCTGGGCTGGGACCGACCCAGGGTGAAAACGCTCTGGCAGGCGGAGACCCCCAGCTCTGCCTTATTCCAACGGGGTCTCTGCTGTGATATTGGTCTCACATTTCCCAAATTAGATCGTTTCTTAAAGGACTGCTTTCTAAAAGGGCTTTCGTACTAACAAATCGTCGCCATGTCTTTGAACTTGAATTAGTTGAAACCGGTTGGCTCCTGCGCCAAAATTCAATTGATGCTAGGCTTGTTGCATCGAAAAGATGGTGAAAGATTCCGGCTAAAGCGCAAATAGTTGTTTGAACGGTAAAGAAAATGAAGCTCCATAGGTTTCCAGAACCATCTCTCTTGACGAGATAGGCGATCAGAAACCTAGGTGGGGGGGCACAGTCCAAACGGAGCCCTGCCCTGCTTTGCTGCAAGGTCCAGGGTAATTAGTGACACAGGAGCCATTTTAACTGCGCAGACATCATTTTTGGGAGGTTGTTTTTTCGGTTGCAGCAGAACCTAGAGGGCTCGAAAGCCGATTAAGGGAGGGAATTGTGGTTCTGTGCTTTGATTTCTAGCGAGAACTTGCAGCTTGCAAGAGTCTATCTGCTGGGAGCGGTGTGTGGCATTTGAGGTGTTTTGCGAGTGAGGCATCAAAGCAAAA